AACCTTGTAACGCTGAAAGCTACATAGAGACTCATAATTAAACTAAGTTTATGGATTTAATTGAAAAAAATGCAGTTACCGTCACCTTACGGCGATTTTCAAATATTAGAAACTCACGCTTGCGTTGTCAAACCAAAAAAAGCAGGGGAGCGTTAGGGCCTGTTTGTTTATACTGAAGTAACTATGAAGTAGCAGAAGTAGAGGAAGTAGAGCCTATTTTTGTTACTTCCATATTAAAAATGTTGTTTGTTTCTCCGTAAAAGCTACTTCCGCTACTTCCTTAAAAGCTGACGTGTCATCTAGCTGGCATCTCTATTTTCTTAATATTTTTCTGACCTCCAATGCTATGAAATACGGCGGAAGTGATTTTTAGGGTGGGGTCCACGGAAAAAATGATTCCCGAAATATTTTTTCTAACTCCAGATTCTTCTCCTATCTTCACACAGCTCATTCTTCCTCTCAACCTAACCGATTCTTCTCCTATATTCAACCGATTCTTCACCGACTTCCTAATTTTAGCTCCCGCGTGAAAGGGTTTCCTCAAGCTGGCGGTAATTCTAGCTCCCGCCGACTTCCCAGCAAAAAACGTCCTTCCTTCTTCATCTTCTTCCTCTTGGCTTCCCCCAAAAGGTATGTAAAGGTTAGATTTTGATCTTTTATTGTAATTAAATTACATCTTTTGCACAAAAAGAAGAGATCTTGGTGGATGTATTTTAGCAATGATTTCCCTTTCACTGATTTCCCTTTTTCTTGGTGGTCCTCTTGGCTTCCCCCAATGATTTCCCTTTTTCTCTGTTTATAATCACAAACGATTGCTAAATACAGATTTATACTCATCAATTTTAGCAATGTTTCAACAAATAGCATGCTTTTCAAGAAACTCTCACTTATGCTAATATTATAGTGAAGAAAATGTAGAATGATATTGTCAGAAAGGATAAATGGTTCACAGAACCATTCACATAAAATGAATTAGTGCCAGGCGGAGACATGGATGGGTAAAGTTGAAGTTTATTTACATTGTGAAAATACAATTATTACAACTTGAGTAGCTGTTACACCTACCTTTTAATAAAGTCAGAGATCACGCAGGATCTAAATGTGCAAAACTTAGACCTCGCAGGATCCTTGCAAAATAATACATATGAAAACAAAGAAATTATAACTAGACATAAAATACATATGTACACAAGAAACTACATTAAACCCAAAAAAGAAAAAAAATACAATGCACATGTGAAGTCTATACATTTTTGCACTGCCTCTGAAATTTTCAGCCGCAAAAAATCTCCCAGGGAGTCCTCAAGCATTGCACATGTAGAAAGCCATGCCATCCCACCAAAGACATCTTGAAACGTTATTACTTTCATGGAAAAGAATGTTCTATATCATATTTACAGGACTTGGAAACCTATGATTTCGCATAAAACTAATACATGACTCTGTTGGCTATATCACTTCAGCTGCATAACATTAATAAAAACCTAGCTAGCAGCACCCAAATTACTGGAGGGTAAGGAGTATTCTATAAAAGGGTTTTGACAAGGTTTCTACAGAGCTAAAGAAAGGTTAATGGTAATTACAACCCTTGACTACTTGACCACAAGGGAACAACCACAAGCTAATTTTTTGTTGATGTGAGAAATAAATTGGCGAATTTTTATAATAACCACGTGCGCTAATTTTTTAAATTTTATAACATTGTTTTATTTGTTTTATGTAGAATATGGAACCTTCAAAAGCTAGAGATGCTACACTAAGTTGCTTTGCTGCATATGTGGTGTGTATAGTGTGTGCTTACTTTATGTTGTTTGAGAATAAAAGAGAAGTAACTCCTAGGGAACCAACCGAGTTGAGAGATTCATTGAGAAATGCTTATATCTACCGGTTGTTCTATGGCGGCAGAACATTTACATATGACTACTTAAGAATGGATAGAGGTCCATTTTTTAACCTTGTTCGCATGTTACGAAAGTCTAGACTTCTTAAAGATACCATATATGTTTCCATCGAGGAGCAAGTTGCTATGTTTTTACACATAGTAGGGCATAATGCAAAAAATAGGGTTGTTGGTATAAACTTCGTACGTTCAGGCGAAACTATTAGTAGGTACTTCAATGCAGTCCTCGTGGCAATATTAAAACTAAGACCATTACTAATGAAGCAAGCGAGTGGTGAGGTATCCGATGAGATTCGTTGTAGATCAACTTGGTACCCTTGGTTTGAGGTAATGTGGATTATTTTTCAATCATTTATATCTATACTTCTTAAGGTAATATGTAATATAAAATGGTGGATTTATATGTTTCATTTGTTTAAATGGTCAGAACTGTATTGGTATGATTGATGGAACACACATTGCTGCGTCTGTCCCTGATAATATAGTTGCTCGATTTCATGGTCGTAAAGATGGTCCCACACAAAATGTGCTTGGAGTTGTTACACCTAATAAGCTATTTTGTTATGTCATGGCTGGATGGGAAGGGTCCGCTAATGACTTTACAGTTTTGAGGGATGCATTATCTATGCCTCCTCCAAAGGGATTGCGTTTGATAAAAGGTAATAAAATGTGAACTAAACTAATAAACTATTTTATTAGTTTAAAAGGATTTGTTAATAATTTGGTTTCATGTTAATATTGTAGATAAATATTATCTCTGCGATGCTGGATATACGACAATGCCCGGTTTTATTGCACCTTATCGTGGCGTGCGCTACCATCTTAAAGAGCAAGACGGTAGAGAACCATTGAACCATCGAGAGCTTTTTAATCTTCGTCACTCATCACTTCGATCAAAGATAGAGAGCGCATTTGGAATTTTGAAAAATCGTTTTAAAATTCTAACATGTAGGCCTGATTTTCCATTTCAAACACAGGTCAAGATTGTTATTGCATGTTGCATTCTACATAATTATATAATGATAGTTGATCCAGATGATCGTTACATAACAGAAGATGTAGTTTTTGATGAAAGAGAGAGTGAAATTGCTAATGAAGAATCTGACGTTAGCATGCTCAATTTAAGCAAAAGGGAACAGAAAGAAGCACAAGCTATTTGGTTAAAGAAAAGAGATGAAATAGCAAAGTCTATGTGGATAGAATATTGCGCTCGATATAAGGAAGGGAATGAGGTGGAAATTGGATTAGGTGATTAGTATTTGTGTTTTGTATTGTTTTAATTGATACCACCAATATATGCTAGATCATTAAGAAAACAAGTTTGTTTTTTGTTTTTCCTATTATCAAGCTTACTAGAAACCAAATTTTTTGTATCTTTGACATTTCTTTATTGATATATTCTTTTTTATGATGAGCTTCAATATATGTATGTTTAATTTTATAGTTTTGCTTTCTAATTGTCATAATGTAAACTTTATTCTTGTTGTCTCTATGAATATTTACAATATCACAGGACAATGGAGAATATAGAAAAGTGTGCATACGGGGGTAACAGGACTGGATACTTTCAAGTCACTTCAACACTAGATCAACAATCGCCACACTTCTCTCGTTCTCAAGGAGTACACGCTCTTGGAAACCCTTATGTTTTTGGTCGTCTTGGAGATTCGCCTAATCAACAATTCATGAATGCCAATGTTGGTGGAACTCCTATTGGGTTCCCACCCATAAATTTGAGCCAACAAATCATACGATCAGAAAGCTCCCAGAATAATGCTACACAAAATTCAATTTCAAGTATGGAGGTTAATTCTCCTTCAAAAGATGAAAAACATACGAAATTTTAGCAATGTTTCAACAAATAGCATGCTTTTCAAGAAACTCTCACTTATGCTAATATTATAGTGAAGAAAATGTAGAATGATATTGTCAGAAAGGATAAATGGTTCACAGAACCATTCACATAAAATGAATTAGTGCCAGGCGGAGACATGGATGGGTAAAGTTGAAGTTTATTTACATTGTGAAAATACAATTATTACAACTTGAGTAGCTGTTACACCTACCTTTTAATAAAGTCAGAGATCACGCAGGATCTAAATGTGCAAAACTTAGACCTCGCAGGATCCTTGCAAAATAATACATATGAAAACAAAGAAATTATAACTAGACATAAAATACATATGTACACAAGAAACTACATTAAACCCAAAAAAGAAAAAAAATACAATGCACATGTGAAGTCTATACATTTTTGCACTGCCTCTGAAATTTTCAGCCGCAAAAAATCTCCCAGGGAGTCCTCAAGCATTGCACATGTAGAAAGCCATGCCATCCCACCAAAGACATCTTGAAACGTTATTACTTTCATGGAAAAGAATGTTCTATATCATATTTACAGGACTTGGAAACCTATGATTTCGCATAAAACTAATACATGACTCTGTTGGCTATATCACTTCAGCTGCATAACATTAATAAAAACCTAGCTAGCAGCACCCAAATTACTGGAGGGTAAGGAGTATTCTATAAAAGGGTTTTGACAAGGTTTCTACAGAGCTAAAGAAAGGTTAATGGTAATTACAACCCTTGACTACTTGACCACAAGGGAACAACCACAAGCTAATTTTTTGTTGATGTGAGAAATAAATTGGCGAATTTTTATAATAACCACGTGCGCTAATTTTTTAAATTTTATAACATTGTTTTATTTGTTTTATGTAGAATATGGAACCTTCAAAAGCTAGAGATGCTACACTAAGTTGCTTTGCTGCATATGTGGTGTGTATATTGTGTGCTTACTTTATGTTGTTTGAGAATAAAAGAGAAGTAACTCCTAGGGAACCAACCGAGTTGAGAGATTCATTGAGAAATGCTTATATCTACCGGTTGTTCTATGGCGGCAGAACATTTACATATGACTACTTAAGAATGGATAGAGGTCCATTTTTTAACCTTGTTCGCATGTTACGAAAGTCTAGACTTCTTAAAGATACCATATATGTTTCCATCGAGGAGCAAGTTGCTATGTTTTTACACATAGTAGGGCATAATGCAAAAAATAGGGTTGTTGGTATAAACTTCGTACGTTCAGGCGAAACTATTAGTAGGTACTTCAATGAAGTCCTCGTGGCAATATTAAAACTGAGACCATTACTAATGAAGCAAGCGAGTGGTGAGGTATCCGATGAGATTCGTTGTAGATCAACTTGGTACCCTTGGTTTGAGGTAATGTGGATTATTTTTCAATCATTTATATCTATACTTCTTAAGGTAATATGTAATATAAAATGGTGGATTTATATGTTTCATTTGTTTAAATGGTCAGAACTGTATTGGTATGATTGATGGAACACACATTGCTGCGTCTGTCCCTGATAATATAGTTGCTCGATTTCATGGTCGTAAAGATGGTCCCACACAAAATGTGCTTGGAGTTGTTACACCTAATAAGCTATTTTGTTATGTCATGGCTGGATGGGAAGGGTCCGCTAATGACTTTACAGTTTTGAGGGATGCATTATCTATGCCTCCTCCAAAGGGATTGCGTTTGATAAAAGGTACTAAAATGTACTTCGTCCTTTGAGATACAACTTCAATCAAGGATTGGTGGTACTTGGTGATCTCTTCTTGTTGGAGCACTTAGAGTACTCTGCTTAAGGACCTCGAGTTCTTGGATGATACTGTCACATTGGTTACCAAAGCATTCTCTTACCCCTTGAGTTTGGCAATATATCATAAGAATACTCTCCCGGAAACTCAGCTGGTGCTGTAGAGTTTCGATCCATTGCACAAAAGCTTCTGTGTTCATTCTACCTGCAAGAGAAAAGGAAAATATTTCTTTGATAATTCTCTGAATAGATAAACTAAATAAACCCATTAAAAAAATATCAGAATGAAATGCTTCTACTATGGTATAAGCGCGATGATACCGTTGCTCTATTGGGAGAGCTTCTAGTAAGGAAAAATATTGATGTAGTGTAATATACCACATCATTTATACCACCTAGTTGCTGAAATAGGAATAATGCTGCCCCCACGCTAACAACTGCAGTTTGGAAAATTAGTCACAAATATTACCATGCCTATATAAATGACCTGAAAAACCAGAAAGAATATACGTTGTTTCCTTTTCCATTTGTTTAGTTTGTGTATGTGTCTGTGCTTTATCCATTCCTCCATCGTTTTCTTTTTCTTCAACTCGTGATGTGAGCGTTCTAACTTTTAAGCACAGCAATGCTTGAGGCATGTGGTGTGTTATAATACTTTTATTTCTATTTCTATTTCAATTTCAATGACAATCCAAACAAGAATAAAATAGAAACAACATGTATTAATTACTTCCTAGTAATATTTCCAAATATTATCCAAACAAAAAAAGTAAATGAAGAGGAAGAAGTTCTACTTCCATTACTTCTAAAAATAAATAAAACAAACAAAAAAAATACTATTTCCGCTACTTCCTACTTCATAGTTTTGGAAGTTACTTCCCTAATCTATTTCTTAATTCCAATACTTCTATTATCCAAACGGGCCCTTAGTCGAGCGTCCCATAAAAACTTCGTTTGAGGAGAATATTCGACGGTCAGATTTGCTATAAAGAAATTTGAACTGCTGGACTGTTTTCATATAAAATTTTCATTGAATAATTCCTTTTCAAAAATTAATTTTCTGTTGGGGGGTTTTATAGAAAAGATATTCCAATTTGGCTTGATGGAGACGCAAGTGACGCTCCCCTTTTGCTGCGTAGATTTCGGACGAGACTATCTTCCAAGTGTCGATATCATTACAAATATTAATCAAGTGGATTTTGTTAGTGACAAACAAAAAAAGTTTAGAATATTGTCTTCATTATCCAAATTCAACGGCAAAAGAATAAACTACCATTTCTTTTCTTTTCTTTGTCTTTTTCTTCTTTTCTTTTTTTTTTTGTAATTTACGTTATGGCTGTTTTCATTTGGAAAGGAAATCATCTCAAAGAGTGTACTATACAAATAGAAAATTATAGACGTATTACTTTGAAGATTTTTTGTTGATCTAAGGGAAACAATATATGAACCTCATCTACAAAGTTGAACAAACTAACCACAAATTAGAAGTAAAATCTAATTTACGACTTTCTCTTGAGACAATTCCACTTCAAGTCAAATTTAGGAAACATCAGCCCTAGATGATTGAGAGGAAAGGGTATAGGCGGTAAATTTTAGGAAACCTCATGTTGGGTGATTCTCACAAAAACTTCGTGAATTTTAAAAATTAGGGGAAAAACCTCCTAAAGTTCGGAGAGTTTCACAAAATCTCATATAACTTTCGATAAGTACCACCTACTTAAATACCATTTAAAAGGAACTTCCTCTCTCCATAAAACCTCAAAACAGAACTTTTTACTCAAATGTTTCCTTGTCTCTCTCTATTCTCTCTTTAATGACAAACCATATAAGGGAGTTTGAAGAATTTTTCTAAATAAACTCATCCATATTTTATTTTTTAAATCGACCCCCTTGAGTTTTTTTACAAAAACCGACTAACTTTTTTTTAATCCGGTTCCTAAATAATCGGGGTTGCCAACCTTTTTAGGGCATAAAATCTTCGGGTTTAGGGTTGTAATTGGGGTTTTACAACCTCCTAAATAGACGGGCGGGGTTGCCAACCCCGACTATTTAGGAACCGGATTAAAAAAAATCGACCCACTTTCTCGTCACGATACTGACGTGACGAGAAAGTTGGTCGATTTTTGTGGTTTTGTGGAAAAAAAACTCAAGGGGTCGATTTTTTTTTAAAAAAAGTGTGAATGGTTTTATTTAGAAAAATTCTTCAACGGAGTTTAGTCTCCAAGTGTTGTGCCTCGAGAAACCAAAACAATCGCTAAGAAAGATAAACAACCAACCAAAATCAACAGCACAAACAACCAAACACCAGTTTTACGTGGTTCGGCAAGATGCCTACGTCCACGGGGCAAGGAGGGGGGAGTTTTCACTATTAGAAATCAAGAGGAACAAACTAGGGTTACAAATCTCTCATAAACCCTCAACAATCAACTCTCAATCTCTCCAATTGCTCCTAGAATAGAAGCCCAAAGAAAACTCTCTTAATCTGCTCAAATTCGTCCTTGCTCTTAACCCTAAAAAACACCCAATGGGTATTTATACAAATCCAAAACGAAGCGGGTCTGAAAACAGGCCCAACTCAAAACCGCAGCGTCGGTCGACCGGTACGGTCGACCGCGATCCATCGCGGTCGACCGGACCGGTCGACTGCTATTTATACAAATCCAAAACGAAGCGGGTCTGAAAACAGGCCCAACTCAAAACCGCAGCGTCGGTCGACCGGTACGGTCGACCGCGATCCATCGCGGTCGACCGGGCCGGTCGACCGCCCTCCATCCAGAAATCAGATCCAAAGTCCAGAGAGTTCGGCGGGGGCCTGATCTCTGCCAATTCTACATGTAACAAATAGATAAAAATCAAACTAAACTTAATATGAAAATCTAGCTTATAGAAATGATAAACAATAAACAAAATAAATACTAAGCTAGAATTGAGTTTAGAAAAACTCCTCTATAGATCAAGAGAGAGAGAGAGAGAGAGAGAGAGAGAGAGAGATGGAAATGAAGCTCAAACACCAATGGATGATCTCCTCTTGTTCTTGTGAAAATTTCTTCACAAACTAAACTTATAAACACACTTAAACAAACACTTAAACTCTTGTAAACTTGTTTTTAAACACTTCTTTTGGTAGTTAAAAACAGTTATGACAAAGAGATATATATAGGATGAAAACCAAAGTCCAAAAACCAAGAAAACCCAGCAAAAAGATAAAAAAACAGAAAGCTAGAAAAACTAACCGTTGGGCCGTCTGTCGACTGATAATGTTCATCAGTGGACTAATGAGCTGACCATTACAGGCTAGCAACATGTCATCAGTCGACTGATAAACTCGCAAGTCTACTAATAACCTTATCAGTCGACTGGTCAGTCGACCGAATAAGAAACAGAAACTTTTTGATATTTCAGGTGATTTCATCAGTCGACTGAACACTTTCATCAGTTGACTGATAACAAATTATCAGCTTGTTTTGAATAAAAAACTAACTTTAAAGTGTCTTTAAAAATAGTAAATAAATTCAGAAAAATATAAAACTTTGGGGAATGCTTGAAACATGAAAATGAACATGTTACAAAAACTATTTTTCAAAAAGCACTTCCCATTTGTAAAATCTCATCATTTTGCAAATTCATTTAAAATACGAAATCTCGAAAACACATGATTTTGACAAAATTGACTTAAACAACCTCATAAGATGACCCAAATCTGTCGAAGCCTAAATACCAGATCCACTGCTCGACAACCAATACCGATCCTCCTCCAGAAAAGAACGGCCCACTAAATCCGCCATCTCATCACGTCGCCCCACTGTCTCCTTCCCTCTGAAGTGTCTCCAACTGCCGTGAGCTCGGCACCAATGCAAGAAAGGACTCCTACTAGAATAAGTACGACTGGTAACCTTTCTGCCCATACACCTCCTCCAACTGTTGCGGACTACTAGGTCTTTATACCAACGGGACTTGGTTGCAACCCAAATATGCCTAGTACAATCCCCAACATAGGAAACAAAATAACGATTACCTCCCGATGATGCCTCCTCGGAAAGCCCCCAAATGCCTGACTGAACACCTCCAATAAGACCTCTCGATCGATGGATAGAAGTGCTGAACTCCACCTCGGTCTTCTTGCTCATACCAATGTGCTCACAGGACTTCAATCTGCAGGTCATAGCACTCCTCAACAATCTGTGCACGGTATAACCAACAATATATCCCAGCACCAAACAATGCCACAGTCTAGCCATAGAAGTAGTCAGCGCCCTATCAACTACCGTGCTCCCAAGTAGATAATACAAGTTACTCCGCCTGACTCCCTTCATCACAATTATGGACCCCGATGTGACCTTCAAGCGAGAATCCGCCAAGATCACCCTATAGCCTGATGCCTCCAATACCCCAAGTGAAATGATGTTCTTCCTCAGTTGAGGAACGAACCTCACATCAGCCAACTCCCGGATCATCCCGTCACTCATCCGAATCTGAACGGTACCAATACCACCAATAGGGCATCTGTGATCATTACCCATGAGAACAGCATCCCCTCTTTCCAACTCCTGAAAGCTGGAGAACCAATCCCTTCTAGGGCATATGTGGTAAGTAGCACCAGAATCCAACATCCACTCGGTGGAGTCGGCAACATCAACTGACGGAAGAGCTGGGCACGCCCCTCTTTCTAACTCCTGAAAGCTGGAGAACCAATCCCTTCTAGGGCATATGTGGTAAGTAGCACCAGAATCCAACATCCACTCGGTGGAGTCGGCAACATCAACTGACGGAAGAGCTGGGCACGAATAGCCCGAAGAATCTGAATCTGAAACATCGCCACTAGCCTTGGCAATATTCACCTCTGAAGCTTGAATAGCTTTCCCTTTATTCTTCACAGCTTGCAATTTTGGGCATTCGGCTTTCCAATGTCCATCCTCTCTACAAAAGGCACACTGATTCCTACCAACTGCAGGATGCCCCACTCTAGACTGCGACCTTCTTCCACGGTTTGGACTTCTAGCTCTTGCAACCAATGCACCAGCAACCGGCTCGATGGAAGTCTCATTGTCCTTCTTTCGAAGTTGATAATTCACAAGGGCTGCGGTGACCTCACTATATGAAAGTGATGCCTTTCCATTAATAAGAGTGAGGACGAAGGTCTCATATTCCTCGTCGGGCAAGGAACTCAATAACAACAATGCCTTGTCCTCGTCTTCAACCTTGACATCTACATTCGCCAAATCTGCAAGTAGCTTCGTGTAATGGTTCATGTGATCACTAATAGATGTCCCCTTCTTCAATTGGAAGCGATAAAGCCTCCTCTTCAAATGCAAACGATTTTCGACGCTCTTCGTCAAATATTTGCCCTCTAGGACCTCCCAAATCTTCTTTGCCGAAGTTTCATTCATCACATCATATTTAAGGTCTTGGGTAAGGCAAGACCTAATAACACCACACGTCGTTCTATTCATTTTATTCCAAACCTTTTCATCAATGTCGGCCGGTTTCCCGTCCAACTCCAATGTATCTTCCAAATTTTGCGCATTTAGCGCATCCATGACTTCGCATCGCCAAAGTCCAAAATTATTTGTGCCGTTGAACTTTTCCACATCTATTTTCATAGAATGTATATTCAAACTTTGGACGGCCTTCACACCAGAAGAACCCT